TCAGTCTCCTGTGAGGGTGAGGCATGCATAACTAGAGTTTCCTAGTTTGTGAAAACATTAGTCTGAGTTAAATTTCTTGTAGCCCAGTCCTGTCTGATTGGCTCATTAAAGATGATAATTAACCCATTGCTAATTTACCTCAGAAGCCAGCCAGGCAGCCTGTATTTTACCAACCTCGGTGGTGGATTTGGACTCTATTTTAAGGTTTCTTAGTCTCAGCAAGACTTCACTTTCTTGTCTGCATCTTATTTGCTCTAAGGACATTCTGTAAAATTAACAAGCTATAAAGTTTGATTGAAGGTTTCAACAAATGTGAGAATAATTGACTCCATTTAGAGAAACAAGAAAAACAACCTGTAAACTTCGGTTTGTAGGGGAAAACCCATATGATTTTGCTCTTTAACCAAAGGAGCAGTAGCAAGCTGGACTTCTTAAGACCAGAAGGGGAAAAAAAAAAGACCAGAAGGAAAAAACTGGTTGATAGTACAAGTTTAAATTCTGATTCTCAGTGGGATGTGGTGGCACATGCCTGTAATTCCAGCGTTCAGGAGGCTGAGACAGGAGGATTGCTGCGAGTTCAAGGCCAGCCTAAACTGCATAGTGAAACCCTGTCTCAAAAAGACAAAAAATTGATTAATTAATTCTGATTCTCCCAAACTAAAAGTTCAGCAAAAGTAATACTGCAAATGACTAGCTGCTGTAATCCTCATTCCTTCCAAGAGGCCTGTTTTGAGAAAACAGGGCCCCAATAAAAATGGTGTGAGTCCCTCATTCCCTAGAGTTTGCATCCAGAGGCCTGATTCAGCTCTCTAACCCCTCCTCATATTCTCTGGCCAGATTGAGGGTTTTCTTCCTCCCGACTGTTCTGAGGTGTTAAACTGTGCCACTCAGCAAGCATCCGTATGCAGTGCCTACTGTTAAGCTCGTTTTCTCTCTCACTCTTCCCCACCTTCCATAAGGCAGCATAAGTTTCCTTTTGTGTTCCTCCCTGAGCATCTCCGCTTAGGCTGGGCTTGCCCTTGTGGAATGGTTGTGGAGAGTCAGCAATTTTCAGAGAATACCATTCTTCCTTACTTACCTACCTCTTCCCCTAAGATGCCCCAGGCTGGTAAGCCAGTCTTCCTTGGCCTAGAGGTTTCTTCCAGAGTCTCTCAGCACCTCACCTTCCCCTGGGCCTCATCCCTACTCACCCACTGCCTGCTCACAGTATTCTGTCTGGAACAGGCCAGGGGACCACTCACTATCACCTCTCCACATCAAAATTTCGGTTTTCCTTTCTGCTAAATTCTGTGCTGGTGGACTCGATTGGGGTGATAACTGGAGCCCTGAAGCTCAAGGTTTCAGTTCCTGCCTGTGGGGCAAGCTGCCTCAGATGATCTTCAGGGGAAGAGAAAGGGGCTTTCTTTGGGTGTCTTCCTTTCAGCTATTCCCTGACCTAAAGCCTCAGTGTTCTTTTCAAGGCTAGAATGATTCATTGGAGGCATTTTGTCCATTAACTTTGAAGTTCTTGATAATCTGTGAATTGAGTGTCTCTCTCGGACAGCCAGGACTGCCAGCACGAAGGTACACTAAAGAGGTTCCCATGGTATTCTCCAGCCAGCAGCCCTTTACCCACTTCTAGCCATAGCCCAGGAAGGAAGCTGCTCCTGCCTAGCTCTTCTCTGGCAACTCTAGGGATTGCCCAAGCCATAACGTACATACCATTTACGTTCTGTGCTTTTCATTGGTACAGAATGGAAAAGTGTACTCAAGAGCAGAATTATTGTGAGGATTATGTCATAAACTTCATCCAGACACCTTCATTTCCAAGCAGGCAACCTAGCTTTAACCTTTCTCCTACCAAGAAGTCTTCCTTTACCAAGAAAAGACAATCCTGGAGTTCACTTTGTTTGTTGGTTGATTTGTTTGTTGCTTTTTTGAGACAGGGTCTCACTCACTATGTAGTTCCAGGTGGCCTTGAATTTACCATGTAGCTCAGGATGACCTCATCCTAAGTGCCAGGATTACAAGTGTGTGCCACCATGCCTGGCCTTGGGACTTTGCTTTTTGAAGATGGTTTGAAATGCATTTTCCGTCATGTCCATCACACCTGTTAAACTGGTTTTGTTCCTTTTGTTGTGTCTTGCCCTGACTCAAATGCTAGAGGCTGTGTGCAATAGAATATTCACAAGCGCTCCTAAAGAGCGCCAGGGTCCAGAGAGCTGTGGTCTTCCCCTTTGTGGGTTTATTCCCACTTACGGTAGAATACTCTTGCAGTGGACTGAAGATAGGCAATATCCCTGTGTTCCTGTGCAAGACCTCGACAGCTTGCCTCTGAGATTCTCCATCTCCTAAATAGCTTCAGCTCCACATTCCTCACTATTACAGTGCATTTTAGAACCCTAAGGAAACTCTACACAACTTTGACTGTTCTTCTTACCAGTTGGTTTGCAAATGAGAGAGGACATTCTCCCAAAGCACTGGGTGACTTTGCTCTCTTCAAACAGTATTGTTTTCAGACCCCTTGCACCACCTCAAGAGACCCCAGTGGATCAAAGCCCTTTCTTCAGTCAGACAGGAGTGTCCTTACTCTAGGGAAAGGACTAATGGCAATAGCAGACAAAATCCCCAAGGAAACTAGCTTCCTTCTAAAGACATGGAAATGAAAAGGAGGGTCCCTTTCTGCTCTTTTAGCCATGTGTTGGACAATTCCCAGTGATCTTCTAAGGATGTGCCGCAGGCAGGCTCAGGATGTCTGCATCACTGGGTCCTGCTGTGCCCTGGAAATCCCCATCTCCAGGAGTCCCACGTCCACACATGTGGCCTTTCTCCCTCTTGGCCAGGAATCATACTTTCTTCCTGAACCATGCAACATTCCATCCAAGTGTTCCTGCCTGCCTGTCTGCGTATACACCTTCCACTTCTCCTGGGCAGGTTTCTGGTGTGAGCTCAGCAGGAGTGTCTGCGAACCTCTCACCATCCAGGTGAGGCAAGGACCACCACTAACTGCTTCTCTGTCCTCACCCCGTCACCCCCACCTCCTCTCCATTTAGTGGCAGCAGCCTCATGCCAAAAAGGAAAGTCCTGGACCCATTACATAATTCTCCATAGTGCAAGCAGTAGCTGGGGCATAAGGTCAGAGGTCATAGTGGGGTCAGGTGGCTGACACACACTGTAACGACAAGGTGGTTAAAATTAGACCACAGAGAGGAAACTGGCAGTCTTGTGGAAATGCAGAAGTTTCCTCTGTAAGTGAGAGACTGGGGATGCAGGGAGGCCACTGTGCGTGCTGCCTGCCAGGCTATTACTCATTTCAGCTCTGTTCTTTAATGCCTTTTAGCTCCTGCTTCTGTATTCTAGCCTTCCTCATCACATGTGTGAATGCACGCAATGGGACCGTGGTTACCTGCACTAGCCCAAGCAGTCTTCCTTCCTTCTTTAACAAGATAGGCCCAGGACCAGGCATCCCAAGCTCCAGAGGCTGTCCTTTTCTCTAAACCTCTTCTGGGTAGGTGAGAACTTTTTAGGTCAGCCTCTTGGGTGGCAGTGGTCAAGATACTTAGCCTGAGATGCCAGACTGTGGTAGTAACAGGATCATTAGTGAGGGGTGGCTAGGCAGGTGAGAAGGTGGTAAAGAATGAAGCACAAAGGTGACTACTGTGTGTCTGTTTCCCTGGCCAGCCACTGGCAGAGTAGTGTTCATTTCCACAGTGTCCTGGAGGAAGGGGATTGTGCCTGCTTCATCTGTTCCCTGTGGGTACTCAGCTGAATTCCCAGTGCCTTTACTGTGAGCCTCCTGTGTACCCAGCTTGTCCTTACAGCACTTGCCATGAAGTATGAAAAGTATGAGCTATAGTCTTTACCACTAAGTGGGTTGTTATCCAGATGAGGGAAGTAACATGTGTACCCATAAAACTGTGAGCCCACAGTCAGTCTCCATCTTAGAGTCCTACGCTGTGTGATCAACATATCAGTCCCTTTCACATTCAGAAATGGGGAGTTGTTAGAGGACCAGGCATTCAGTATGAGCTGGAGTCACTGATGATGAAGGGGCTGCCTCCTGTGGCCTGTCTGGCTACTGCAGTGGGTTTCCTATATGGATTGACCATCAGCTTCTGAGCTGCGGATCAGGCAGGGCCCTCTCCATGGTGAGCACCCTATCAGTAGGAAAGACAAGACTTCAGAGTCCGGGGAGGAAGAGAGGGGCACCAGTGGGCAGGAATGGGGGAGGCTATAAGTAACACACGTAGGGCTGGAGGTAAGGGCATGTGTGTAGTCTAGCAGAGAGTACCCCTGATTGGATGTCTGTGGACACTTCGTGAAATAATGACAAGTTTGGTGATTGCTCAAGGCAGTGAATTTCATCTTAGCTACATCAGTCCCAGCTTGTGTGAGAGCACCAGTGTGTGTGCTGATGTGGTCACGTGAGAGCAATGATTTGAACCCAGCAAGGGCAAAGCTTGGGTGAAATGCTGCCCAACCCCACTCTCTTGAACATGAGATGCTCTTAAGTGGGGCAGGAACCGATCAGAGGGAGCCCAGAGTGACCTGGTCGAAACAAAATGGCCGAGAGAGAGCACTCATCATTCATGTTGCACCCAGGCTGCAAGTTCTTCCGGCGAGATCTAGAGCTAGATTGGGAGAAGAGTGGAGAGGAGTAGCAAGGGGTGCCTGAAAGTGGCTTCTGTGACAAGCAGTTTTCTGCACTGTCCTCCTCTTCCTAATGATTATATTCCAAACTTAGAAGAACCTAATTTATTCTTTGGGGCATTGTCTGCTGCCCCAGGGATGACCTAGGAAGAGACCTTGGCAACTTCCTTCAGAAGACCTTGGTCTCAGCCCTTACTCACCTCCTTACACACACACACATACACACACACACACACTCCTGCTCACTCACTCTCCCTTCCTTCTCAGTAACTTTGACACACTTCTCATGTGCCCCACAGTCAACGGTGTCTCTCAGATTCATCTTCCTCTTAAGAAAATGCTGTTTTTCTTCTCTCCCTCTTGCCCTGTAGGTTATTGCAGCCGACTGCAAAAGGGTCACAGTGCTGAAGTATTTTCTGGAAGCCCTTTGTGGACAAGAAGAGCCTCTGCTGGCATTCAAGGGTGGAAAATATGTGTCAGTGGCACCCGTCCCAGACACCATGGGAAAGGAAATGGGAAGCCAAGAGGGAAAACAACTGGAAGATGAGGTACTATGCGGGAAGAGCCCGCTGTGGCAGAGGGAAGGCTCCCGTTCCCCCTGCCCATGGCTGCAGCTTCTACTCGGGGTTATTTATAACCTCTCAGAGCACTTCTCAAGAGTGCACTCTGCTGGTGCCCCTTCCTACCAGCCCACCCCAGTGCCTCCATCTCACTGTGCTACACATTCCAGATGCTTCTTTTTAATGTTGCATTGGAGGAGAAGGGAAAGAAAGAGTTTAATAATGTGCAGCTCTGGAGGCTTAGGAAAGGGAGGGGTAGGAGGGGGTGTTAGGGTTCAGGCTGAGGATCAAGTTTATAGATGTGTGGAGCTCAGCGCAGCACAGGCCTGAGCTCCAGCCTCCAGCACACGTACAGGAAGAGCTGACATTGCTGGCCCGTGTGGAAAATCACCCCTCCCCTGGCCTACTCTCCCTCCCTTGCTCCCTCCCTCCCTCCTGCACATCCTGATGTGATTAAGGAATTCTCATCTTGTTTGTTTGCCCTTGGTTATTCCTGTAGCCCTTGCTTCACTCCAGACTTGGTGTGTGTGTGTGTGTGTGTGTGTGTGTGTGTGTGTGTGTTTACACGTGCATAAGCCTATGTACCCACTGCTGCAAACCTCCCTGGCAGTTGCCCTGGTATGCATGTATGTCTTTCTGGGGGTGATGGTTGATGTGGGTCTGTGTGTGCTCAGTTTATATGTCAGTTTAGCTGAACACTACTGCCAGCTCTGTTGCTGTCTGTGAGTTCTAAGTAAATGTGTTACTGTCAGAGTATGTGTGCATTTAGCATCACTGCCAGCCTCCCTGCTGTGTGTTTGGGTGAAACATTGGGTGTGTGCACACACACCTCACTTTTGCTTGAAGGTTGACTCTTCATTTTTTTTTTTTTTCCCAGTACCAGGAATTGAACTCACGACCTTGTGCTTGCCAGCCAGGCGCTGTGCCGCTGAGCTAAATCCCAAGCCCCGACTCCTTCATTTTACTCCGTAGTGTGAAAGACAGTGGGAGCTTAGGTGGGAAGGAACGTGGGACTGAAAGAAGGGACGGAAGCAATTCTAGCCAGAGTCCAGGTCACCCATAGGCCAACACAGTCATTTGGCCCACAGCAGTCTCAAGCGCCCGGCTGAGCAGGGTGGGGTACAAGGATGAAATCAGCAACAGGCCAAGGAAGCCAGATGTCAGCTGGAAGCTGTCATTTGGGATCTGAGGCAGTGATAGAGTGGCCACCTTTGGAACAGAGTCTTCAGAGCAGCAGAGTCTTGGACTGGCTTTATTAGGATAACTGGAGAACTCACCCCACCCCTGATGACACAGGACTCAGCTTCCAGGACAGAGGTGGTTCCAGGGATATAGCTGAGCCCATGATTCCAGACTCTGCAGATGAAACCTGGGCAGGAAATAATGGGAAAGAGTGAGCTGTCAGCATGGAAGGAGACAGTGGAGTTACTAAAGTCATGGGAGTGTCCAAGCTTTGGGTGGGCAGAGTGGTGCCATCACAGCTCTGGGCACTGTGTGGGAAATAGAGATAGCACCTTGGTCTGTCATCTCACCCACACTGGAAAGCTGAGGCAGGTAAGGTGGTAGAGGGGTAAGCAGGGCCTCCTGTCCAGGCTTTTCCATAAGAGATGTCCTTAGGCCATTGGTACCTATAGCACAAGCCCAGTTAGGCAAAGAGGGCCTCCTCCCCTCTTCCTAGGACCAAGCCAGCTCTCTGGTCCCAGATCTTGACTGTACCACACTCTCTCTCCTCAAACTTACTGAGCAGACAAAGGTTGTGACCCACACCAGGCTGCCCACTTCTTCCTTTTCCCACGAACCTCCTGGGTTCCTTTATGTTAGTGGCCCCTGGGAAACCCTACTTACCCTAGTCTGTGTAATTTCATAACCCTTCACTTCCTCGTTTGCTGTGAGAGCTTTGAAAACCTCAGACAAGCTTCTATGACCGTCCTTTGACCTCAGTCCAGCTCCCTGAGGGCCCATGATAGCCCTGCATATCTCTGGTCAGAGCATGAAGGGGCACTGTTCCTCACAGGCCTGGCAGACGTTCTGTTCCACTTGTTTCTATCTAGTGTAACCCCTTCAGCAAGAAAGTGAATGTGTCCCACTTTCCCATGACCAGAGATGGACAAATGAGTGGTAACTGAACAGACCCTGGGACCTCTCAGTACAGTGGCAGTTTTAGCTCATCTTCAGATCTCATATCTACTGCAAGACTAAGTCACTGAAGCTGATGGGAAGAAGGGGTAATGTTTCTTCAGAAATCCTTCTTTATGAACAGAACAAAGTCTAGTTCCTTAGGCATGATACCAGACTACACATCATCTCTCATCCCGGCTCTCCTCCGTCACCTACCCACCCACACACTTCACTAACCACCTTCCACCAAGAGAATCCCACTTAAGAGGAGAGAACAGTCTGCACCAGAGAGGTCTGAGCCTGGCAAAGCTGATCTGCTAAGGGCCAAGTCTGGACTTTCTGTCTTGATTCAGGACTTCAGCCCTGTGGCCTGTGGATTTGTTCATTATGATGACAAGAACACAGACTTTGGAGTCATACTTACTTGGGTTTGAGTCCCTGCTGTGTCCTTTATCATGTATGTAACCTTAGAGGTTATTTAACTCTAAACTCTGGTTTGCTCATTTATAAAAATAAGGATGGTAACAGCACCTACTTCATAGGCCATTCAGAAATGACAGTATATAACAGTAAGCAGCACTGAGAATAGTAGCTGTTGCTATAGTTACTATCATCCTGTTAGAATCACAGGATTCTTCTGTTAAATCACTCCCCATGTACCCCTGCTAACCCTGTCCCTCAAAGGAAGCTCTCTTGGGCAGCTGCATGTTTTCTGTTGACCAAGGCCAAAAGTGAGACTGTAAAGAATGGAGCAGGGACCACCCGGAGAGTGATGGCTTCTGAGAGCTGAGGCTGCAGCAGGGAGGCACCATCCCTGGGGAAGGCTCCACCAGCCTGGCAAGAGGCTTCTTAAGCTAGCCAGCCCCCTCCTACCCTGCCCAGGCCCTGGGAGGGCAGCTGAGCAAGGCCATGTCATACGAATTCCTGTAATAGGGCCCAGCAGTCCCCATACCACCAGGCTGTGGCCTTAAAAAGAAACCAGGGCAAGGTCTGCTGAGCTACAGCATCTGCTCTTGATGCTGTCTGGGCCAAGGGAACTTCCTTGCCTAACTCCCAGCTGTTGACCAGTCGATTCCTGTCAGCTCATTAGCATGAATTAGATTAAAATTGGGTGGTTTAACTTTCTCTGTTGCTTACCCCTTGAATCATTTGTGACTTCAGAATGAAAATAGGCCCAAGGTTTGACTTTATGAGTGTGTTCAGGAAAGAAAAAGGAGTGTGAGTATAGGAATGTAGTGTACATGTGTGATTGTGAATGAGTGATGGTGTGCCTGTATCAGTAAAGAGCCATAGAGTGTAACAAGGAGCAGTGTGAGAGGAAACATGACTGCCTCTCTCCATTCACCTTTTCCTGAACAAGGGAAGCACAGACCATAGGACCCTTGGCAAGGAATGGTCCCAGTCAGCATAGGGTGGGAATTTTAAAGGCAGAGGGTGGATTTGTTAAGTGCCGTGGGCTCACAGGTGCCTCTTTCCCCTGCTATACTCCACCACCCAAAGGAAGAAGATGTGGTGATTGAAGACTTTGAGGAAGATTCGGAGGCTGAAGGCAGCGGGGGCGAGGATGATATCAGGGAACTGCGGGCCAAGAAGCTGGCTCTAGCCAGGAAGATAGCCGAGCAGCAGCGTCGCCAAGAAAAGATCCAGGTGGGGACTGCCTGGGGAGGGCCATTCCCATGAGGGTGGTGGCTGTACGTGAGGGGATATAGACAGGAAGTAGCAGCAAGCATGACCCTCTCAGGAAAGGTCTCACAGTGCTCTCTGCAGTACCCCACTGTTGTCTTACTCTCCCACTACCTTCTAGTAGCATGTTTCCATGCCTGGAGTCTCTTTCATTGCAGGCTCCAAGGGGAAGACTGAGTCTTCGCAGAGAATCTGAGGAATTCTCACTCTGTGAGGCTCCACCAGGGACACTACACATAATCTTTCATGCAGTCTCAGGGCTTCAGAATTCCCCTGCACTGTACCAAGATACACATGGGGAGTACCTGTTCTCAGGAGGAAAGAGCGGGTACCATAGCCACAAGCTACGATACAGGTTTGCAGTGTAATGGAAGAGCCCCTTCTAGACAGGGTACTCTCCACATCTTCCCAAAGAGAAGCTGCCTCATCCCCACGCAGGGGATTCCCCCTCTGTCAGTCCTCTCAGGGGACCCAAAACTTCTCTTCCAGCAGTTTTTTCTCTGTAGCTTTCCTAGGCCTGTCTCCTTGCATGCTACATCTACTTCTCCTTATCTAGTGCTCAAAGCAGACAGGAAAGAGCTCTCCCTTTAAAGAAAACTGCACTGGTAAGCATTAAGCCATCCTCCTCAGCATCTTTAGGGTTACTGATTTTCAGCCCTCCCTCCACCTTCCCCTCTCCTGGGCATAGTGTTTAGTGCAGGCGGTCAGACAAACCTGACTACAATCCAGGCTTCGCCATTTGACTAGCCTTATGACACTGACAAATTGTGTAACTTCTCATGTCCTGTCTCCTCATCTACCAAGTGAAAGTGGTAACAGCGTCTACCTCTTGGTGGCGTGGTAAGGCCTGCTTCCAACCGTGCACTATGCATGGCACACAGTCGTTTCTCTGATAACAGTCTAGGAACAGGAATGAGCCATTGGGATTTATCCTTCTTTAGACACATGGAATCAGGTGTACAATTCCTCTGTCAGCCCATCTGCTGTAGTGTGCCTGACTGCTCAGCCCTCCCATGAGTCTGAGTGTAAACTTCTGTGTGGCCCCAAGAGCAGCTATAGCCTCATGCTTCTCTTCCTGCCCTTCTTCCTCATCATCAGTCTTCCCAAAAGCCCCATTCCTATTCACTGCTTCTATATCTTGACTGCCGACCTAGTAGTTACAGAAACGTGCCAGAAATCACCAAGAACCCATCTTGGACCCCAAAGCCCCGTTCCTCCAGCTTCCTTTCTTTTATAAGCACAAATGAATGACCTTATCTTCTCTCTGCTAACCAGACCACCCCCTTCCTAGGCTTCCTCATCACCACTTCTTTTTTTTTTTTTTTTTTTTTTTTTTTTTTTTTTTTTTTTTTTTTTTTTTTTCTTAGTCTCAGGAGTTAGTGTTTTGACTTCATAAATGGTAGCCAGTACAGCATCATCTTAAATTCCAACTTGGCTATTTACCCCTCCTTTCCAATTTTTATCAAACCTTATCCTAGTGAATACACTCATTTATTCCCCCTTTTCTTCCCTATTCCCATTGCCACTGCTTTACTAGTTCAGAGACTCGCTTCGATTGTAGCTATGAAGCCCTTGCATTGCACAGCTTCAGGGTATGTCATTGACCTGTAGCATGTGAATGACCCCTCCTGGCGCTGTGTAGTTCACAGTCTGACCACCTAGCTCCTATTTTACCCTCCTACCTCCAGTGTGTTACTCTGCTCCCAGAAGAACCACTTCCCTGCTCGGAAATCATCAATGCCTTTAACTTGGTGACTAAAATAAAGTCTTAGTTTCTTCTATGGTATCGAAGGCTTTCTGATCTGTCCCTCTCAGTTTCTCCAACTTTGCCCACCATCACATCCCCAGGCAAAGCCTGCTTCTTGGTCTGTGAAACCAAAATAGTGTAACACCTGTCAGAGTTGGTAGAGGCCTCAGAATGAATGACAGCAGGAACTAAGCACCCAACTAGTCACTGAGGCCCTCCTTACTTGGAGAGTAACACTAACTCTGCTCTCTGCTCACTGCCTCCAGATAGGTGCTGCCCTTTTCCATTTACTGGTCTTTGTGACGCTGTCCCTCAAACCAAACTATTCTTTTTCCACTCCGCATTTCCTGTTACCTGTTGAAATTCTATTCCTCCTTCAGTTCTCAAATGAAACTCCATCTCCTTAGTGAAGCCTTCCCTGATTCCCCCCAGGAGGAATTCATCTCTCTGTTCAGTGTTCCTGTAGTATTGATTTATACCTCATTTGTAGAACTGCTATCATTTCTCAAATTACAGTTATTTCAGGGTTCCCCCCCACCCCATGGTACTATGAACTCCTTGGGCTCAAGGACCATGTCTTCAGCTCAGTTTAACAAGCGGTGTTGAACATTAAGCATGCTGGTGGCTGGGGGACACAGAAGTGAACAAAAATATCATATCCTAGAGTGTACCATGTATTGAAAAGGCAAGTCTTAAGCAAATGATTCAGTATGTGAGCAAATGTTATTTTTTTTATTTTACATACAGGATGCTATGGGGGCAAATGCTACTTGAATCCATCCCTGTCCAGAATTCTGTTTCCAGCAATATCCAGTACTGTAATAATTGGAGGCCCAATATAAGACCTGACTTCCAGGGCCCTGGCTGGCCCTATTCGGGAGGGCCTGTTCTCCCCATCAGCTCCTTCAAAGGAGGCCGTTCAGGCCTTGGCCTTAAGGGCAGGCTCTAGGCTAACAAGCCTAGGCTGATGTGGCCCCTTTAAGAACAGGCCCCACATGCACTGCTGCTGGCGGCCCTGCCTCCTGTCAGCCTCTTTCCTCCAGCCTCACAGCCACAGGAGGATTTCTCAGCAGAGGAAAAATTCCCCCCTTTTCCTCCCCCTCCTTCATGCCCGGGGCCCTTCACTTCCATAATTCTTCATTTTCCAGCCTTGAACGTAAGCCAGACACATCTGTCTGGCCATATGCGTGAACCCTGGAGTCTGTGCCGAGGTGGCTGTAAAACAGGGCCGGTGAAGGCCCTTCTGGGAGAGCACACACATGTGTGTGCCCTCGGGCCATTGGCTCCCTGCCCAGAACCACGGGGCTTCAGCGCGCCAAACCCATGTTAACCTTCTCTATTTTTCCTCTTTTTGTTTAATTTAAGGGGGGAAAATCCCAAGGAAAAGGTATAAATTGTCCTGGGAGTGGAGGAGAGGCTTCTAGCTAGAGAGGCCATTATTGTTGGCAGGTACCTAGGTCACACTAATACAATAAGGAAGAAAGGAGAATCAAAGATCGGAGAGATGGGCTGTAAATTACACTGCTCTAAACTCCACCAGTCTCCAGGGTGTTAACCTAGAGGTGTAAGGCAAGTCCCCAACTCCCAGTGCCTTTTACAGATGCTGCAAAACAGGAACCACACATGTTTGGGGAAGGGGATATGAAGATGGGGTTGAACAGAATCCCCTTGGCCCCCAAGGTGGCTATAAAGTCCAAGTGAGATCTGGGGCTGTAGCCACACCCCCCACTTCCCTGCTCCCACCTAGACCCCTGGGCCTCAGCTCATCTGTGAGGATGGGGGAGGTAAGGCCTGGCCTCCCTCTGAAGCCTGTCCCTCCCTGCTTCCGGCGTTGCACAGAGGCTGGTGAATGGGGCCGACTGGAGGTCAGAAACGGGGTGTGGGGAGCTCTCAGGGCCTATGCAGCTGGAGCTGCAGCGCCCAGGCAGGCCCCTAGATGTTGGGGGTGCCAAGTCCGCCCACCGGGGCTTTGAGGCCACACTTTCCAGCTCAATGCAGGCTTTTCCTTGTTGCCTGAAACAGCTCTCCATTTTGGGCTAGTTCTGCCTACCATACTGCTTTCCGCCTGAGTTCTTTTCATTCTCATTGCCTTCTTGGGAGGTGTCCAGAGACCAAAGCAGGGTACATGGTTTGTCTGGGAAATTGGTCAGAAGTGTTTCATTCCTAACCAGGCCCCCAGGGCCAGGCAGTCACTGAAAATCCTCCTCCAAGCATGAGGCGTGGCCTCTTGGCACCTAATACTGGCCCAGGCCTGTGAATCCCCCGCCTTCTGCCTGCCTCTATGAGGCTGTGCTGTGATTTGTGCTGCTGTCGGGCGGGGTCAGGTTTCCTGAGCAGTTGCAAACATCCCACCTGAAACATAACAGGCTCTTCCTCTGGCCATAGCTATTGTTTCCCTCTGCATTATGGCCACAGTCTTGCTCTGTAGCCAGCAATGACATGTGTTCTGAAAATAGCTTCTCTCCCCTGTCCCCTTCCCGCCTACCCACCCTCCTGAAGATGCAGTCAGTCCTTTGTGGTGGCCCCAGGAGTTTTACTCTAAATATAGCCACAGTTCATTCACACTACCACCCAGCTTGGGGAGGGGGGTGTATTGTGGAACAATGGGGTATGCACAGAGCCCCCCACACCTGTATGGAAAACTAGCGGAAGACAGACACTCAGCGCTGGCTCCTAGCTGTCGGAGGCAGGGTGGGAGCCAGCACACTACCAGTCCAGGGGCACGTTCACGCCAGGGCAGGAAAGTACATCAGCTTGTGGAGCTGGGCACCACCCCAGCCTGCTCCAGCTGCTCCACGCACCATGTTGCTGGGTTTCCTATTTGCTCCAGCTGCTCCCACCTCACTGGCTCCAGCAGCATCCAGTCGTGTCTTCCCTCTCAGAATGTTCAGGCTGTTAACTGAGACACCCTTACACTGCTGCTCGAGGCAAGCTCAGAGATGTCGCGCTTGGCTCTGCTACTGTCTCCCCGTAGGAAAAGGAACACTTCTTTGGATTTTTCAGAACAAGCTTTTTCCGTTAAAACTCAATCGGATTATCTTAAAGTGCTCTTCAGCTCTGAGACTCTGTGATTTAGTTCATTGAACTTCTATAATACATCAAGCTCTACAGGTATTATAAAGAAACTCCAAGTAGGCGGTTCTCTTTCAGCACCTTACAATCTAGTTTGAAAATAAGATCAGTCCTCATACACAAGAAATAGCAAACACGTTGTTACAGTTTTTAAAAAGCCAGAGCTGAGCATGGTGATGTACACCTTTAATCCCAGCATTCTGAGAAGCTGAGGCAGGAGAATCAAAAGTT